TCACGCCGAAGACCCGGGTTCAAATCCCCACATGGGCACAATGTGTGAAGCCCATTTCTGGTGTCCCCCACTGTGATAATGCTGGAATATTGCTAAAAGCGGCGTAAAACCAAACTCAGTCAGTCATATCCAGCCTCACTATACCCAACTTCCTGCTACCATCCAACAGATCGCCATAGAACACCTACATGACTTGCTACCAAACTGTCTCTTTTATGGGGCAGTGGGGTAGCCTAAAGTTTAAAGCATCTGCTTGTCATGCCAAAGACCTGGGTTCGATTTCCTACAATGTGTCAAGCCCATTTCTGGTTTTCCCCTGCCTTTATATTGCTGGAATATTGTTAAAATCGGTGTAAAACTAACTCACTCACTCTTCCCTTTAAAGCATGTCTACTTACCTAATCCAGTCTCCCCTTGACCAGAGGTAGAACCATCAATCCCCTGGTGACTGTAGGTGCACCATACACAAAGCAGTATCAGAAGCCTCATTGTTGGTGGTGTATCCAGGACCCAGGTCTTTACATATGTTGCTACAACAGCTGACAGTGGTCCAAGTACAATCTACAGGTAAGGCAACATCAGACAGTGGTCCCAACGCAATCTACAGGTGAGTCTACAACAGCAGACAGTGGTCCCAACACAATCTACAGGTGAGTCTACAACATCAGACAATGGTCCCAACACAATCTATAGGTGAGTCTACAACAGCAGACAGTGGTCCCAACACAATCTACAGGTGAGTCTACAACATCAGACAGTGGTCCCAACACAATCTACAGGTGAGTCTACAACATCAGACAGTGGTCCCAACACAATCTACAGGTGAGTCTACAACAGCAGACAGTGGTCCCAACACAATCTACAGGTGAGTCTACAACATCAGACAGTGGTCCCAACACAATCTACAGGTGAGTCTACAACATCAGACGGTGGTCCAAGTATAATCTACAGGTAAGGCAACATGAGAGAGTGGTCCCAACACAATCTACAGGTGAGCCTACAGCATCAGACAGTGGTCCCAGTACAATCCACAGGTGGTGATGCTACAACAACAGACAGTGGTCCCAGCACTATCTACAGGTGATGCTACAACAACAGACAGTGGTCCCAGCACTATCCACAGGTGATGCTACAACAACAGACAGTGGTCCCAGCACTATCCACAGGTGATGCTACAACAACAGACAGTGGTCCCAGCACTATCCACAGGTGATGCTACAAGAACAGACAGAGGTCCACGGACTATCCACAGGTGATGCTACAACAACAGACAGTGGTCCCTGCACCAGCTGCAGATGAGGCTACATCAGACAGTGGTCCCAGTGGTTTCATATTCAACTGGGCCTGGAATTTTAAGACGAATATATATATATATATATGTTCTCTGTCTTTAAAACTTTGTAGCTAAAATAGTTGGATATATCTGGATGTCCTGAAATATAAACATGTAGGTCCTTGAAAACAGGTCTCCCCCTGAATTCTGTCCCGTTGCTGGTATGATAACACTAGCACCCTGACTGTACCTAGGACATCAATGTCTGTGAGACTATCCACCAGTGTAACGTTGCAGGATACGCACACAACTGCCAAAATTAATGTCAACGCCAGTTTGTTCCTATATAAATCAGTTTCCTCCTATCCCTAGCTGATAACGTTGATAAAAACACAATAAAGGTTGGACAATAACAAAATACTCTTGTTCAAAGATAACATGACATAAAAGATTGAATAAGCACTAATATTTCATAATTTGGTGAAGGAAAACCTGGGAAGGTACTATGAATAACCAAGGAACTTTTCACTATCTTATCTTGAATCTTTCAAACAAACCATTGATGAACTCTACATTCAAGTTCTTAGTTCATTTTTAATTCATTAAAATGTGTTCAGACAATCACAAACTTAATTAATATAAACTTTGATTCTGCCAGTCAATAGTATTAGACTAGCATAAACATTACTTGATGAATTATTCTTGATATGTAGCATTATTTGGTGATTATCAGAACAGAGAGTGATTTTTAAAGAACTGTGTTTACCACAAATTGTATTACATACTCACCTGAGACACGACATGGTTGTCAGGCTGCCAGGAAAGTTGTCATGTAATGACATGACATGACAGGCTATATGGGTCAGATCTCTCTCCCTGTATTCCAGCTTCAACATTCCCTTCATACAAACACAGTGACATTGTTCAGATCAATAGCTTCCGTGGTATTGCCTGTGGCCAATATTTCCCTGTAAGATCACCATGCATGGTGCTCTTTGTCACTTAGATAAATAATCGTCATTGAAGAGGGATCCCCTCATACAGCTCCACATTTGTACTGTAAGTGTTATCAGTGTATTTCATGTGCATGTCACATTTTTAATTTGAAATCTGAGGGACCAACCATTGAATATTCCGGGGAGTACATTGGATTTTGTTTGAGACAGAACATTTCTTTCATGAGCACTTCCAAATATTCAATATTTATCTGTGAAAGGAGATCACTTCATGCTAACTTTGAATGTGTCCAGTGATTTATTTGTTTGGGATGTAAAACATAAAGACAAATTATTTTAGTCAAAACATATTTTGGGAACAGATTATCTTTTGTAGCACCATTCCCAGCACTGCATCCTCTCCCCTCCACATCCAAGGTGGAAATATCAAATGGTTGGTCCCTGTTGTGTTATTTCTTGTATTTTCTTTATTGACATTGGGAAGAAATAGACAGAATGTTGAAAACACTGAAACCATGTTTAGATTTCTTTTTCTGTAAGTCCTCCCTTGCATTCATTTCAAAACCATTTAGGTTCATTTCATACTTTTCCCAAATTAATATGTATGTGTTACAGTATGTGAATTCTGATATTCATTCAGCTGGACTATGTGAGTAATGACACTGGAAATTAATTCTGATGATAGTAGATATCTCTGAAATAATGAAGCATGTCAGACATGCAGGATCCTTTCACCGAGGACACCGCCATCAGACCAAAACTTCATAAATACTGATGTCCCATGGAGTGATCTTAGTGCTGGCATGACTTACTCCCATATCGTAAGATTGACAGACAATCATCCAATCACAGACTGCATGGTGAACAACCTCACGGGTACAGGACCACCATCTATCACCCACTGTGAAACCATTGTGAAACCTCTGTGATACCCAGCTAGGATATAATGGTTATCAGCAACATACTGTCTTGAAACATGAATGGGAAATTTGCTGACACCCCTAATGTGCTTTTAACCAGTGTATGAAATAAGCCAAAAATCCAGCCAGACATCAGGGCTAGTAACTTCAAAATGTTACAAGCCCAAAATGGATTTAACCAGACCAAATATGGTGAATTACTCAGATGTATGGCACATCTAAAATTTCTACCAGACCGGGCTGGCTGGCTTTAAATTTAGACCGTCCATCAGAAATCTAGACAGCCTCGGACGGTCGGACGGGCCTTATTTCATACACTGTTTTAACCAATAATTCAATTGCAAAAAACAACAAGCAGAAAACGATGGATAAAATATAACTATTTCGGGGTTCACTTGGTTGAAAAAAGACAGTTAGAAAACATGATAATTTGAAGGATTCATTTCTGAAAAGGAAACCAAGAATCTCACACAAGGTAGATATGTGAGTCATGCAAAAGATCATAACTACCAGTATGGGATAGTAGAAAGCCTAAGGGAAGCAACTCTGCACAGTGAATTGTCCCCCCAATTGTAACATTGTAACATTGTTGTACGCCTTTTGAGGTATGATTTGGTTTGTTGTGTTACGTGACCCTTCGCAATATTCCAGCTATATGGTGGCTGTCTGTAAATAATTGAGTCTGGACCAGACCATCCAGTGATCAACAGCATGAGCATCAATCTACGCAAGTGGGATATGATGACATGTGTCAACCAAGTCAGCAAGCATGACCACCCGATCCCGACTCGAATGCAATATTTCTGTTGGAGTAAACTAATTCTTCAGACAACTTCATTGTATACATGTATCCAAACAGTTTTTGCCAGAGGTCTGTTAGACTATTCCAAATATGATACGTTCTACCCTACTCTTGAGACTTACAGCAGGTACCTGGGTAAGGTCTGATAATTGGGGATTGGGTACCCGGTTAGTATAAAATTTGGACTTGTCCCAGTCTGTTTCCTCCTGATGTTACTAAGCCTTACATCTGTAAACGTCCAGCCTAAAACTAAGTCACTTCGCATTATAGCCAGTACGGTAAATGATCGATCAGCTATTTAACAAAGGTGACACTTATTACAACAATACTTTCTATAATACCATTTACATTATGTTGGTATAAGCTTGTAACATCAGTAGCTTTCCTTTTGTGGAATATATTAGCAGATTTACCAGGAGGAAATAATGACTGTCCTCATAACTTTATTGTTGTATATGCCTGTGAAGGTCTGGGTTAGAATTGATCTTCAGCAACCCATGCTTGTCATAAGAGGCGATTAACAGGACCGGGTGGTCAGGCCTTGCTGACTTGGTTGACACATGTCATTGTATCCCAATTATGTAGATCGATGTCTGGTCCAGGCTCGATTATTTACAATCTGCCGTCATATAGCTGGAATATTGCTGAGTACGTAAAACAAAACTTACACACTCATTCATTGTTGTATATTCCATACTTGTGATATTTACAGTCTGCAGATCAGAAATCCAAGGAACAGAACCATGGATATGAGTGTATACTGGTAAATTCTGAGCCTCACACAAAAGCATCTTGATCCCTGCATGTTCAACAAGTTGACCCATTTTCCAAACATCACAACCCCTGGTTATTTCACCTAAGGGAAATAAATTGCTCAACTGACTCAAATTGTTGTGGCTATCATGAAGTCCACAATTCCTTATCAGAGAGTCTTTGATCAGTCAATCCTCATTGATGCAACTTGCCAAGTTGCCCCTATGAGCTGAAGCAGTGGTTTGTGCTGTGGTTTATTCACCCCTGGTCATCAGATAAACAACAGACATGGAGACTGGCTTGAAGGTTGTTTATTCAACAATGATATATAAAAGTGATGGTACCACACAAACATGAGCTTCATCACAACCAGCAGACAGACAGACAGACAACAGGAATTCATTGTCAGGATCGCAACAGAGTTTAATATTCACAACCTTTCTTTGTACAAATCACAACCAGAGTAAAGCAAGAAAAAGCTGAAATATCAGCTGAAGAAATAATCAAAGCAAAACCGTATGAGAGAATGAGTAATTTTGTGAACCAATTCTTCAATTCTGATTCAACCTGATAACAAGCATAGAAAAATATGAAATTTCTGTAAAAGAAAATCTTATCAAAAGCATAATTAAGTTGTAAGTTGGCAGTTCCAGATATTGAACTTCAAGCATTAAGTCTGATCTGACAATGAAACTAAAAGAAATATACAAAAAGACTGCATGTTCATTATTTCAATTTGAGAATCAGAACTGAAGCCCAGGAATGTTGGAAAGATTATAAAGGTAAACAATCTAGTTCTCCATGCTTCACCACAGATTCACATGAACATGCATTGTTTTCACCATTAAACATAATCAAGTCAGGAACTGCCTGCTCTAGTCAATAGCCATGGATTAAAACACAAGATACATGTATATTGTAAATATTAATAGGCCATAAAAAATCTAAAACTGAAATTTTTGGGGGGTGTCAAAATATCTTAGAACAATTCATTATATCAGCCGATTGTGGAATAGTTCAAAGTAATGCAGTCAATCAGTAACTGCTTGAGTACAAGTTTAGTTTTGGTACAGACAAACCGCAGCTGTTGTGTCAGAACGAACAGCGTAATTCAAGGGAGACAACTCTACAGAGAAAATTACCTCCCCTTCAGTCAAAGCCACCAAAGCATTCAATGAAACTAAATTTGCGTTAGCTGTACTCCAATCATTAGCAATAAAATTCTCCTAAAGTATGTATCGTTGCAAAGAAACACATTTGCCATATACAATATTTTGTTTTTACATGATTCTTGGTCATTTAATGCCATGAGAACGCTGCAGCATATCAATGTGAACACTTGATACTGAGATGGATGAACAGGTGGAGCATCATCACAAACAGTGCATGATTTGTGCATGGAAATATTCAGTACTGGGAGAAAGTCTGGAACAATGATCACATGCAGCTGTGTCATGCTGTACATGTCATGGATGTCAGATAGAAAGATTTAGCACAAAGTGGCACAGAGTATCTTCAAGCCTGGCAAGACATTTGGGGTTCGGACATGGAGATGATAAAATTACAACTGTACAGCGTGTGTTGTACAAAACAACTTATGTACTAAGACTGTCGTAAGTCTTTGTCAAGGTATGGGAATTACGATCCTCTTAGCATTAACATGGCTTTGTACAACGGCTCCCTGGATTGATTGTGTTAGGCTAACACTGGCTTGAATAGTACATTGAGTTCTGTCCAAGGTGTCAACGTCTTGTAAGAGAAAGCCCCAAAGTGATGCAGGTCTCAGAGTTTGACCACTTTGGTGAACCAAACCCACAAGTATTGGTCTGGTGCTGACTAACCTAGAAACATCAGGGTGAATTTGGGACTCTTATCAACAATATTAAGTTTCTAGTGTGCCCAAGGAAAGCCATTCTGCCCAACACATGGCATCTCCATGGACTGGGGAACTATTCCTGGATGTTCTAAGAAATAGGGAAGAACTATGCACCCTCTTAGCTCTGACATTAAGCAGTCAATCTGATCGATGCCTAACATGTTCCATGTCTTGTACTTATTGACAGGCAATGAGGTTTGCTGGGACTTGGAGTTAGTTGAGAGTACTCTGTTTAATGTCATGGACAAAAACATCACAGGGTGGTAGGCAAATCTGTGGCTGGTAGTATGTGATACTATGACAAGGTAAGGTGACAGCTGTATGTCTGACATATCTATTAATCACTATTTGGCACCAAAACTCTCCATAAATCATTCCAAAGCAATTCCCAATGTTTTACATTTTAGGTTTAACATTGGAAGAAATCACAAGCAATGCAGGATGAAGACATGATCATGACACATCTAAGGGAGGCAACTCAGCACAGCAAACATCGGTGCCTTAGACCACTGGGCCACATGGTAGTGCAATAAGGTAAATGGCCATACTAAGAGCCACAGAATAGTTCTTCATTTCATAAATCGTTGCAACACTGAAAGTGTATTTCTCTAAAGAAATGTGAGACAATACATTTTGATTTACACGGATTAAATACACCTTGAACTGTATATACAGACATACCAACTTCAAGAATCAAATTCTTGAGCGAAAGCACTTATTTTGACAAATGAACAATCACAATGTACTGTTACATTGCTACATATATACAAGTGTGGAGTCCTCAAGTTGATCCTAAAATTTGATCAGTAAGAACAAAGAATTATGTACAGATATGTATGTACAAATGTTTACAAAAGAAAATCAGACTGAATTCAAATGGAAAGCATACATAACCTGTATGGAGATCTTCCATTCTTGAAACATAAAATATAAAAAAAATATATATTAAAAAAAATATATATACTTTGAGGCAAGATATTTTAAAAACATCTAAAACAGGAATGAAACATAGTTGCTGACAATTTGACAAGTGATGAGGATGCTGAATACTTCATCACTTCATCCCACTTTGTTTCGACAGCTTTCTAATCATACACCGACACAATTCTCTCACAAAACGAAGAAAAAATCTTTTCAAACTCAAGGTTTTAATTGTCAGTATGTCATAAAAGCGAAACAAAAGACCATCTGTAGACACTCATCAATACTACATATATTATTTTCTATTTTTTTATAATATCATGTTTTGAACTGATGGCACAAAGAATATTTTGACCTTGAGACAAAAACAATCCGTGATTTTACAAAACACTAATTGTCCACAGATTGGTCCATGGATTGATTGCAATAACTTAATGAGGTACCACAATGAAACACTTCATTTCTCGAAACTGAAGAACATAAACTAAATAATGCTTTCTTTGTTCTCTACTGCAGTAGACACATCAAGTTACTATGTAATAGGGCTGTAAGGTCAGTCTGCAGGACATGAAGTTTTCATATTGTTACTGTGTGAGGAAACATCTTTAGCATGGTCAGTTGCAGCCAAAATAAACATCTTGGAGTGAATGTGAGATTCAAACACATGACCAGCTGACCCTGACAGGAGACCCCTCCCCCACCGTCACCCTATTCCAATAAACTACCAGTATTTGACAGCTAAGATTGACCTAAGTCCTGTATATCAACAAAGACTTGCATCCGAGAGCTAAGACTGCCGTGTTGAGGGCAGGACCCGATGTACCACTGAAGTTTGGTGCAGGATCCGCTGTACACTTTAGTCATTATATTCATTGAGTGTCACTCTCAAGCTTAAGAACATTTTGATGAAACTTTAAGCATAAGTTACCCTGTGTGCTTCTTGGACTTTAACTCCATAAAATCACAGATTGTTAAATGTGCATACATGCACATGCATGCACCTGCACTTCTACATGCAGAATCAGGACTATATATATATTTCATAGAAAGGACTGCAAGATGTATTGTCATCTGTGCAGCAATGATGCATGCAACAATGACACTTGATCCAGCGATAATGGAATGTCAAAATTATCACAAAGATATTAATCTTTTTATACTTGTAGGAGAAAGAAAACAAAATTCTCAATGAAATGACAGTTTCTCTTTTTTCACTCATATCAGTAACATGGTGCTTACAGATACTCATGACAGTCAATAAGCCTGATGGAGATCTAACTCAGTGCTTCTGGTCCCATTGAAGGATCATCTCCAGCTATGAGAGAAAGTCTGCTGAAAACACTGAAGTTTATCCTACGGAAATAAATAACTTCATATGATAATAATAATTTTCATAGCACTTCTCATTTCTTTCATTGTTCAACAGTGCTCTGTTATTGGTCAGACAATACTTCTTTCTGATTGGCTATCACTTTCTCCCCCTTGCTGTCTTTTGATTGGTTCGTCCTAAAACTGTATCCTCTGATTGGCTACTGCATGTCTCTACTTTTGATTGGCTCAGTCCTTGTTCTGGGGTCAGATCATCTCCAGTAAGTAATATAACCAATAATATTCCACACTGACATCACAGTTCCGTCGTCGGACCATTCTCCTGGTCAGGCTGTGGTTCCTCATAGTAGCTAAGGGGGAGATGCTTCATGTATTCACTCAGCGGCCTGACTGCGATTGAAGCATCCCCCTGAGGGGTGCTTGTTTGAAAGGGGGTGCGACCCACTGCCTCAGCCTGGTCATATGACACATACCCTGCATGGAGGGGTGGGGATGAGCTTCCATCACTCCCTATTTTACTATACAGGGCAGTGTCAGCAGTCTGTTCTAAGCTATTGTCAAATGGTCGCATTAACGCTGTCACATCTGTGATGTAGGATGAATTGTCACTAGGGGGTGGTGAGGACACATACATCACATGGCCCCCAGGGAGCGGGGCAGGGGGAGGAGGGGGCCCCGTCTGTGGGGGTGGGTTCAACACAAAGCCAACATGAGCATCTTGTAGAGGAATATGAAGACTGGAATTGTTTTGTTCACTAAATGGAAGACCCTGATTGCACCTTGAGTCCGGCAGACAATTTGATCCTGTTGACTCCTCTGTCATATCCGCCTGTAAGTAACTCTCAACTGAGTTTTCACACCTCTCTACAGAGTTATCTACCCTTTCCACAGAGTTGTCTGTCCTTTCAGAAATTCCACTTCTGTCTGGCAATCTTGCTTTCTTAATATATGGTTTCCTGGACCGTTTCCCGGATGGTCTTCCTGCCGGAGAGGAAGTACCAGGTCCATGGATCTTGCTGAGCTGTGTGACCTGATAAGGCTGACATTTGCCTTCATCCTCGTTGTTGTGCTCCATGTTGGACAGAAGGGCTGTTTCAGAGGAGACGCTCACATTCCTCTTGGTGGAATTATTGTTGTTATTTACTGGTTTGGATATTGGTTCATATCGATGTGGGTCAAAACTGGGATCAGTCTGTTAAAAAACACAAATCAAGATATAATAACACTATACATTAGGAAGTATACATAAAAATGTTGTCCAAAGCAAATTATACATGCTAAGTCTACCCAAAAATATTTGTTACAACCAAGAAATTAAAGTTGTAAAGAACTATGAAGCCTTGCAATGTTTTACAGTACACTTGCATATACCTACATGTTCACTTTATACATGTACATTAACATGCCCTGAACTCACAGTCATATGTAACTGACATATAGAATGTCATCACGACTACTTGCTATCATTATTACCCAAACCCTGTAACATATCTATAAGAACTGTAAAGGATCAACTACTGCATTCTGTGAATCAGGTCCTGGATCCGTACATTTGAACAATATTTGCTGTTATTGTTTCAACTGCCATTTTAATGATAGAAATATTTCTCTTGGACCCTCCTGTCCCTGTCTGAGACTGTCTATACTTACATCAGCACTTGAGTATCCATCATCAGGTCCTGTGTGGGAGGTGGCGGAGGGCACCTGGGGCAGGGGACGCCCAGGGTAGTGGTGTGACACATCATGGAGAGGATCCTACACACAAATCCAGGTGGTTAAGTTTCAACCTACGTTTAATCTATATTTCCAGTATACACTTTACTTTGTAAATTTGGTTTAAGAATTCAAGGACATTTATATTATCGATGCAGCATGCTTTGTTTCACTCATGTTGAGAGTTGTCTCCTCTTACACCAGAGCTCCATTTTGACTGCTCCACATATATGAGTCACCTCCTTCAAACAGCATAGTTAACTAGGGACATTTCTTTATAATCAGTTTGCACCTAGATATGTATCAGCTACCATCTGATAGCTGAAATATTGCTGAGCATGGCAATTAACAACAAACAAACGAGGCGTGGCACTTACTCCTTCTCTTAGTGGAGGTAATGTTGCCAAACTCGGAATGTCAACATGCATGTAGAAACCTTTCTTCATTTTGTGTACTTTCCTGAAAAGAAAAACTAAAACAGTTACAAAACTATTGATTAACCAAAGTAATAATTTCAAAGACACCCAATTCATCGCAGGTTGATTGATAATTCTCGGATAGTTCAATAAGATTAAGCAAAGCATCTACGCAGTAATTTCAGTTTCACATTCAGTAATCAAATACTGACTTGCAACATGCATAAACCGTGGTGTCATACAGCCCTGCATCTTAATGTATTTTACACATATTGAACAACCTAACAATTTGTTTTGATTTAACACTTAATATTTTATTTTACAAACTACTGACACACTGGTAGCACGTGTTTATCTGACCAAGCGTAATCTACCCTACTCACTTGAAGCAGAAGATGAAGATAATGATGATCAGCAGCAGGACAAACAGACAGGCAAACAGCACGCCAACCATCTCACCAGGGTTCAGGTCTAGAAATGGAAAGAAATTGTTCTGAATTCTGGCCTGACTGAGAACAGATTGTACAAAAATGAAATTGAGCTAAAAGTGAACTCCTGGACCAGACGAAGCAATGGTTGATCGTGTGAGAAACAATGACTTCAGCAAGGACCCTGGGAAGGAGGTTTGTCAAAGGAAGTTGACATATTACTAAACTGGGGAAGGAGGTTTGTCAAAGGAAGTTGACATTTTACAAAACCGGGGAAGGAGGTTTATCAAAGGAAGTTGACATATTACAAAAAGGAGGTTTGTCAAAGGAAGTTGGGAAGGAGGTTTGTCAAAGGAAGTTGACATATTACAAAACTGGGGAAGGAGGTTTGTCAAAGGAAGTTGACATATTACAAAACTGGGGAAGGAGGTTTGTCAAAGGAAGTTGACATATTACAAAACCGGGGAAGGAGGTTTATCAAAGGAAGTTGACATATTACAAAACCGGGGAAGGAGGTTTATCAAAGGAAGTTGACATATTACAAAACCGGGGAAGGAGGTTTATCAAAGGAAGTTGACATATTACAAAACTGGGGAAGGAGGTTTATCAAAGGAAGTTGACATATTACAAAACTTTATCAAAGGGTTGAAGGAGGTTTGTCAAAGGAAGTTGACATATTACAAAACCGGGGAAGGAGGTTTATCAAAGGAAGTTGACATATACAAAACTGGGACAAAACTGGGGAAGGAGGTTTATCAAAGGAAGTTGACATATTACAAAACTGGGAAGGAGGTTTATCAAAGGAAGTTGACATTTATCAAAGGAAGTTGACATATTACAAAACCGGGGAAGGAGGTTTATCAAAGGAAGTTGACATATTACAAAACTGGGGAAGGAGGTTTATCAAAGGAAGTTGACATATTACAAAACCGGGGAAGGAGGTTTATCAAAGGAAGTTGACATATTACAAAACTGACCTGAGGTCTACAGAGGTCACACAGTGGTAGACCTCTATGACTCGGACAAAGTGACCAAATACTAAACGATGCCCTCAAAATAACTCCCAAACCTTCCAGAAGACTAGTAAATAGTTACGTTTGTTGTTTAACACCGCACCCAGCAATATTCCAGCCATAAGGCGTAAATAGTTACACTGAGAAATGTCTCTTCATCACTTGCTGACACGGACACTACACACTAACACACACTTGAAGTACTTGTAAGATATTCCTTACCACTATTAACAACCATATGGGTGATGGGGTCACTCTCTGGCCCCTTCCCTGTCCTGGACACCGCCCGGAAAGTCACCCTGTACTTCACTCCAGCTGACAGATCCTTGATCAGGTAAGTCACATCTTTGTTAGACACAGTCTGGTTCACTGTGGGCCCTGAAAAATACATACCAACAGTTAGACACGGTATGGGGCCAGTATAGCTGCATAATAAAAATGAGATTATTATCTGGTTTTGATCAATGCATGGAGTTCTCTTATGACTTCAAGTCACTAACAATACAAACGATAAAAACCTAAAATAACAAACATCCATAATGTATGCCAACTTCAGCCTTTTGACAGGGAAGTAAGGGAGGGAAGTCTAAACTGTCTAAACAATATTACAAGGTTTGCATGGAAACAAGGCATAATTTCTGAACTACAATTTGTCAGATTCCACCTCCATTCCAGGCTTTCAGGTTAGTACCTTGCCGGTTTGGACATTCAAACTACATGTGTATAGTAACTAATTACAGCCATATTGGTTTTGGGTTTCCATGGTTACCTGCACATCCTCCCTGACTGTTGGTGGCGCAGTATGACAGCAGGTAGTGGGTGATGTATGCTGCATCCAGGGTACAGTCTGACCGCTCCCACACCACACGCAGGCCATCGTCTGGCTGGTCAGGTGAAAAATGCACTTTTTGAGGAGTGGAGGGCTCTGAAAATCAAAGATACGGTGAAAACGTGGTTCAGATGGTACGTCGGTTTGATTTTCATGTTTATCATGATACCTACTGCACAGTATACTGCACCCTACCTCCAGTGAATCGTGAGTAGGTACAGTATATATGTGTTGCTTGGAGATCATCAACAGACTGGTTCTTAGTCAGGTTTGCACTGCATCACCTTCATGACTTGTAACCAGGTTATGTCTGCAGCAGATTTCCCCTTTTCATGTTAAAGACTTGAAATGTGTACTTGTCCTGTCTGATGTCTACATTTGTTTAATTCCTACCAATCAGTTTCTGGTTGGTACTCACTCTTTCGCTTCTGATACACACATATGTTCCACATAATTCCGCTGCTGAATGCCTCATTGGATATCTCCATCTCTGCTGAGATGCCAATCATCTTGTTGTCAATGTTACCATCAGGCACTGACCAAGTAAATGCCATCTGGTCAGTGGTGAAGGGCAGCCACTGAATGTTGTCCTGGAACATACAGAAAATGTGAGTCATTGCCACCACCTGTATTGAAGTTCAGCAGCAACTTGCTTTGAATAGTTACCTCCCTTAGCCAAGTCAGGATTCACTGATTGTTGGTTCCACATCTCACACATGGCCTGCATCATTTTATGAGCATGCCCAATTCCCAGCATACATGCCTCAATAAAACTGTTTATAATGGTATTATATACAAACCTATCTCTCATTGGTCTGTAGGTATCCATGGGTTTATTTTGGACTAATTTCTTCTACCATATAGTAATTCTAGTTGCATTTTTCAAAGTAAAAACAAAATCTTACCACACATTTGTATGTGAACTTGGAGCCAGTACAGTAGTACAGTGTATACCCAAGGATCCGCCCCTCGGGGGAGTTCTGGGAGAGTTCTGGGGGACCCCAGCTGATGTGCAGAACAGAATCCTCGGCCTCAACCAAGATGTTGGTAGGTGGAGGTAACTCTGTAACAGGTCATGGAACAACATGAACTTATCTGTGGTATCAATATGAAAAACAATTCTGAAATGTTAATTAAACATCTAAACCATAACAATGTTTTCAGTTTCAAATAATTATTTTGACTTCCAAGTTATTCAGGGGTGGAAATAACTTTAAAATTGCTAGTGTACACCGGTACAGTGACACATGTAAAATCACTTACCCTGATAATGTTTCCTCTATACCAAGTTTCTTGTTGATTGTTTAAATAAACAACATAATTAACATTGGAAAGTCAACTGGACATTGGTACAGCGTGATATACACATTTGCTTGCCCGACAGGAAAAAACACCAGACTCGGACGTCGGGCAATGGGTTATTTCCACCCCTGTTATTTCAATAAATTTTATGCTTAATTTTTTACAGTTACCGCTGTGCTGATTATCTGTAACCGTGAAAATGCCTAGTCTGTATTTTGTTAATACCTGATTGAAATCATCTACTTACTGTCTTGGAATGCTGGAATCACCAAAGATGCATAATGTTCTGAATATCCAACCCGAGTCCTGGCCTTCAGTTTGATCAAGTACTGTCTGACCTTCTTGACCCCAAGGTCAAGCGATGTGTCTGACCCTTCCACCTCAAACTCCTGCATCTGACCCGACTCTGTGTCGATCTGCGTCACCTGGTACTGGGTTATCTCCCCATTACACTCCATTTCTGGAACTGGCTGTTGGTTAAAAGGAAAATTTAAATCAGTATTTTGATAAAACTTTCAGATGACCAGGTTCGATAACTCCATTAACTGCCCACCACCATACCCTAGAGATGTGGATTTTGTTCATAATATCAATGTCTGGTTTGTTTGCTCCATCATATAATTGGACTATAGATAAGCTAACAAACACTATTCTACCTACCTGCCAGTAGATGGTGACCTCACAGTCAGAGGTCTGAGAGCTGCACCTGTGGTATCTGAAGCTGCTGATCTCAACACCAGGAACCCCACTTGGCACTGAATAACAAACAGTGTAGTGTTATAGTTTACCCTGGGCAGGATATATTATCAAGATCACATGAACAAATCAGATGAGAACATTTTAAGATGGATGTAACATAATGTTGGTTATGCTGTTTGTTATACCAGGACTGAGATGGATTTTAGGTAAAGTTTGTTCTACAGCGTGTTACAGTATGGTTGGCTGGTTGATTGGTTAACGCCAAACTCAGCAACATTACAGCTACAGTGGCAGTTGAAATAATGGACCAGACGCACCAGTGATCAACATAATGAGCATCATTCGACGCAAATGGGATATGTCAACCAAGTCAGAGAGCCTGACCATCCGATTGCGTTAGTCGCTTCTTCCAAACGTGTGTTGTACAATGTGTATTTCTCACCATCCTCCAGTGTCCTCTCCACTATAGAGGTCCATTCACTGTAAGTGCCGTTGGGCTCCACCTGACCTTCTGGGATGGGGATACAGGACACCTGCAGCACGTAGTCCATGGCCGGGTGAAGTCCACAAATAACCTTCCTCCTCTCCTGCGTCATGTAGTACTTCTGGAATCAGACAGTCAATATAGTTCTATAGTTCTATAGTCTGAACAACATTAAAATGAATCATATACCACTCAATCTTTGTTGAATTTTTCATTGAAAATTGAAAACACAACTACAAAGAAAACAAATGTCACTGTTAACTTGAGCAAACAAATTGTACATAACCTCTTCCCACTCTCAGATGTGTCCTTGTAAAACAGTCAAAGTATAAAACATCATGCATAATAATCTGCCAACATAATACATATTAGCTACACAAATTCATTTTATATTAATGTCTGCAAAATTGTGAAACCATCATATGGATGGTAGTGTCCTCCTCCACCTCACCTTCTGCTTCTGTCCCTGCCACACGTGCAGTCGGTACATCATGTTCCTGGACTCTGGGTGGTGCCACTTGAGTGACAGGCAGGTGCTGTTCTTGTCCAGCAGGGTCAAGCTGGACACCGGTGCTGGCTTCACTGCAACATCAACACAGCATCTAAAGTAACCTGGGGATTTAGGGGCCTTGTTGTCTCAAAGGCAACAACTGTGCCAGAAACTGGGACTGAACCAACCTGACTGTGTTTCTTGGTTGGTCATGTATGTGGCAAACATCTAACCTGTAGTACTTGTGTCTCTCCTCTCAGAGGAAGTCAATACCTGGATTGAAGGTGAGCACTTACCGAGATTCTTGGTCTCTATTGAACAGACCAGACTGAGCACTGCTCATTGTGTTGTTGGCCTTGTCCTTGGTAGTGACAATCACCATCATGTAGTAGATCTTGCCGGCTTGGAAGGAGTCCCTGCCATCATGCTGCCTCCAGCTGCAGGAGGTATTCGTAGGGATGGGGGGCAGTCAAACTGGCCATGGCTGGAACACACAGAGAAAAACTTATGAAAAACCACACAACAGAGTGGATAGTGGATGGATTGATGGATGACTGATGAATAGATGCTAGATGGATGAATGCTATCACCCATCAATCCACCTAAAGGATGACAGATAGATCAGTGAGATGGAAGGATGGATTTGTGACAGAAAAGTGATAGGACAAATGACATTGAGAAATGATAGGATGGATGAGTGATTAATGGACGCAGGGGTTTAGATGGATTAGTGACAGATTCAAGGATGAGAAATTGAAAGTGGTTGATTGAGAAAAGAGTGATGGATGATAGAGAGGATGTATGGAGGGAGGGATTTTTTTAGGATGGATTGGGGGGGATGGGTGATGGGGGATGGGGGATACAGATGGACAGGATGGGGGATGGGTATGGAGGTGGGGGGATGAGGGATTGAAGTGGACAGGATGGATTGGGAATACCACATGACAGGATGGGGTGGACAGATGGACAGGATGGACAGATCAGGATGAGGGTCAGATGGACGCTCCTACCAGCTGAAGACCCCAGGTGGAGTTGGAGCAAAAGATTAAGATGGATGGAATGGTAGCAGGCTACAGCTAACATGGTGAATTAAATGTTGTACATGACAAGATTATTTAGCTACTAAAAAAAATGATCATGTTGCGACATACAAATTCTCATTGTGATTATATTAAATCAAAGGTATAGTGCTGTAAGCATATGAATTAACACAATATATTCAAACAGTCCAACTGCAACACAAGAAACAATGTAACAAATTCCATAAACATCAAGCCATTGTGTGAAAGCAATGTGTGTAACGGAACACTGTATGGAGTCTCAAAGCTCAAACAAGCACAAGTGACCTTCCACCAAAAGAAGTGTTGGGGAACATGACAAGGAGAAGCTTTCCAAGTGAAAAAGAAATTCTAATTCAAAAGTATTTCAGAAAATTAAACATCTTTGAGTTTAGTTTTAGTTTTATGCCAAACTCAGCAATAAATATCTTTGATTAATTACTGAGCAGATATTCACATTTGAACACTAAATAATGGAGATTAACTATATTTGTGTTTAGACGTTGATGAAGCACACTGAATCTTAGTGACATAGACAGTTGAGTTACACACCCTACAGGTCAGCTGGGTTATGAATGGAAATACATGTAATGTTAATGTGAAGTTCACGCGGTGTCGTAGCTGTTCCGTGTAGGGCAGTTTAATGAATTATAAGATGCAGTGTCCAAAAGCCTTACTCCTCTGTACTGTCCACTGAGTGATTTGGCTATAAATCACCAGTACGACAACAATAACTTGAAAATATTTATAATTTTATGAAGATTTTAAAGACATTGTGATTTTCTTTGTTTAGATGGACACTAGTCTCACCACTCGAATCTCATCACTTGATCCATTTAGTTGACTCAAATGTGATGCATTGCTCTCATACAGCTGGTCCAATCTAACCTGGTTCCAAGGGTAGTGGGGAGGCTAGTGGTTAAAGCATTCGCTTGTCATGCCGAAGATGTGTTCGATTCCCCACATGGGTCCCATGTGTGAAGGCCATATCTTGCTGGAATACTGCTAAAAGCGGCATAAAACTGAACTCACTCACTAACTTGGTTCCGACTACAATGCCCCAAGCACTGGGCTAAGTTATGTTATAGGTATACTAGTTGTAGAGGAAGGTCGTTGTCTAGATATCATGTATTCAGTACCACTTAACAGCAAACATAACCTTACAAATCTATTTACTTCCTCGTCTGTCTCTACACAAGCAAGGTAGGCATTGCTCAATAGAAATTCAACACAAGCTGTGAAAGCAGGAATTAGGAAAATGTATCAACTTATAACACATGTTAGTTTTAAACTCTGGCATATGGGTCAAGCGTTTTGAAGATGCAAATTACAAGCAGCTAAACAGTTCAAAATACATACCAGTCTTTAAATGGTCTGTAAAAATGTATTAAACTACCACTGAGATGTGACAAACAGATGGACCACATGAAGCCTGCACCAGTATGTGTAGCCTGTGCTTGGATAGCATTTCTTGGTAGTCAACCAATAGGCTTCAGAATTCGTAGCCACTGATAAACATCAATTACATCTGATCATTCACCCTGGATGTTGATAGTTTTCTCTGGTTATTTAACATGGGTGATATGTTACGTGGAGTGTGTTATGTATACTTTTAAACCAATTAAAAACAAATTTTAAAAATAGTTCTGCTTATACTGTTATTTTGGTGACAACCTGGTTACTTTTTCCAGAAGTGTAAATGTACATGGTCTCTACTGTCAGCCTATCTTGCTCTGTACAGAAACGTGGGTTCTCCACTAGAAACGGTTCCACTGGACAAGAACACAGTATTTGTTTTTTTCAAAAGTTGTACACCAGCAAATCAAAATCAAAAGGTTAATGGTGAATTTTATGCACATACACATCTCATCTGAATGTTGGTCACCACTAATCTGTATCAAGCTCTGGACTTGTGACCTGCTGCTCATTTGTAAAACAGAAACTTGTATGTTTCAAATAAATATCTGAGAATGTAAAAGGAAATAATTACACCAACACTTGAACATAATAATTTTACTCAAAGGCACTTAATAGCAAAAACGCAACATAATCTTCATGCACATAGAGTTTGACAGAAAATGTAAACATGACATGGAGCTTGTTGAGGTTTTGACTCAAGCGACTTCAGCGCCTTCACCCTCAGCCTCACCATGTCACAGCATCAACGCATCAAACAACACCTGACCCGACACAACCATGCTTTCCTGTCCGATTAGGTGGAGTTAGGCTCTGAGCACCAAGACAAGCATAGGTCTGCTTGCAGTGTTAAATGTGGGAAAATCTTCCACCAACATAGATGAGAAGACATACTTACATTAAGGCCCACACAAGCTGAACGTTGAAGTTGTTGACATAATCTCTGCCCAGATCCCATGTACAAGTCATGTTCTCCCAGTTGTACACCGAGCAGTTGATGCGACTCACGGCCATGGCTCGGTCTGCCAAAATAAAACAACATCATAAGGAGTCAGTAAAAAAACATCATATTAGTTTAACTTTTCTCATCTAATTGTTTGATGTTGAACAGTATTTTAGTGTACAAGATTGTTAGAGAAAAGCCTGAAAGCTTGGTGGAAGTACACTAGCATGGCTACATGGTGCTGTCAGACTGATGTGATTCTTGGGAAAATCTGGACTAAAGCCTACTAAAGGGACAGTGGGGTAGCCAAGTGATTAAAGTGTTTGCTCATCACGCCGAAGACCCGGGTTTGATTCCCCACATGGACACAAGCTAGACCCATTTCTGGTGTCCCCCCACCATGATGTTGCTGGAATATTGCAAAAAGCGTAAAACTAAACGCACTCACTACAACCCATAATATCTGGATCAGCACTCTGAACTGTATTACAGTTATCTGGACATTAAACTTGCAATACATATTCTAGCACACCTACGAAGGATAACTCTGCACAGTGAATTCCAATGTGCAAGATGACAGGTCTGGGTTGTCCCTCATAGCTGAGGTGAAGACAGCTACATGCTTGTCAATACTACTTACAGTCCACAGTGACGTACTGGCTGCCGAGCACCATACTGGTTCCATCCTCCGTGTTGTTGAGGTGGCAGACGTACGTCCCCTGCTGTTTCCTGGACTCCACCGGATACTGCAGCCGGATACTGCGAGTGCTGAGTATCCGGACGTAGTGCAGCGGCAGTGCTCGCTCCTCGTTGTAGAACTGCTTGGTGAAGTACATGTATCCCGACACATTGCCGCTGACCTTGAGGTCGGTCACATTGCAGGTGAGGTTCAGCACATCGCCGATGAAACCATATGGGTTCTTGGGCCGTACAACTGGTAACAAACATACATGTACACGTTACAAAGGAGGACCCTCCTAAATATTGAGTGCTTCTGTAGCGGTGTGAAACAACAAACAATAAAGTTCTGGAGATAAGGACTCAGTTCATGCTACAATTTACTGTTACTTGCTCAGACAACAGATAACAGCCAGGAAAGAAAATTAACATTTTTACAAAAAATGAAAGGATCCTCTCATTCAAAGGCAGTGCATCTTAAAAATAAAACTGACACTGAGTCTGACTGTAGTTTGAATGATTAACTTTCATTGTGAATGTTCCGAAACCATGGACCACTATTTCTATATACTTATTTATCCTTCACATGCTGCCACTGGAGACCTATGGGAGTTTAAGTCACGTGGTTGTGTAAGGCTGTATTGTCGTGTTATTGGCAGCTATACACAACAATACTTCAGAACGGTCAACATACTGTCCTTTAAACCTCCCATGCCACGCCAGATTACACACGACACTATCATCATTTTGACAGAAGTATAAATGTGATGATAATTGTTTCCAATCCTTTATACGTAAGCATTGTTATTTGACACACAATTCATCAACATGGAGGAGGCTTACTTCCGCTGCTGTCGAAGATGAAGGCGGCGCTGGTGGCAAGGTGGAGGCCGAGGGAGAGGAAGAACACCACCAGTGTCGCTGGCTGTCTCAACATGGCCGACGACGACATCTCAGCAGCATCTTGAATGTCACATCATGCACACTACACTACACCTGCAATGAAAAACAACATTCTGAACTTGGTTCATGCTGAATCATGTCATATATAGAATATCTGCCCTGGATTTGCCCTCATCCTCAAACTGTCCTGCATCAATCCATACTATGGCATACAGTGGGACTTGTCCCTAAGTACCTACAAGTCAACACATCATGTAACTAATGAACAAGACCGAAGCATCAAACAGGACAGTGTTGTAGACTGACACAGCAGCCAAGCAAGCTTGTCCCTGTACAGTTTTGTCTGAACACAGTGATTGAAGTGTCTCTAAAATACCTCATCCTTCTTTTACATCCTAAAGCAGCATTTTCTGTGCTTGTGTGTCACTGTACCCCCAGGTGTTGACCATTGGTCATAATATCAATCACCTGATTGTCTGGCACATACACTGCCACAAAGCAGGACTAACACTGAGTGATTCAAACCCACAAGGGCACACAATCTTCACTTCACAAGTGTATTCACCATGCACAAAAGTCGCAGGTGTACACAGACTTCACAAATCCCGAACTGAACGTCACCTGAATTTCAAAAGCCAAACAAGTTCCCTACAAATATAACTCTCAGCATTACAAACCCACCGGAGATATATTCATTCTGTCTCTGGGAAAATAGTCACGCCTTGTGTAAGACTCGTCACACAACATCAACCTCGAGATGAAATAATTTGGTTTTTTTACTCCTGCCTCTGAAAATGCTGCATCACGAACAACAAGAACTTGACGAAACCCCTCGACTGTAGCTGTACGAGGCACCAGGTCAGGTGTGACAGTATCCCTGATTGCCGAACCACCCCAGGCAATAGGCTCTGTGTATGCCAATAAACACTCTTGCCAACAAAACTTGCTAGACTGGTTTCAGTCTCTGTTGAAGATCACAGTTCCAATTACTGTAAATAATCTCATCCCACAAGTCAATAATCTTGACTGCCCACCGTTTGATGTAGGTGTTAAACCAGAAGCTGCATCAACACTATACCTTCCCTACACTGTATGTAGAACCAAGGAACCATTCAGTTAGTCCTGGCTGTCAATATGTCTGCTTGATCAAGTGTTGACAATGAGAATTGAAGCAGCAGTAGAAAACAACATGCGACGATAACCTCCTTCTTCTAACATAACAATGATGGTGAAAATATTTGCCTACCCACAGACAATATTTACATCACTTGCCATGATGTACACGTGCAGAGAAGCCATCATTATCTGTTCTAAAAGAAGTGCGCTTTTCCAACCATCAGAACCTAATCTATATTCAGAGTGAATAAAGATGTCTTCAGAGCTCAAGGATATATTCTGAATATTTATAAACAATTTGTGTCACTTCCCAGACAAGCCCTTACTTGCTTCCATGTGTCAGCTGAGTAGATTCTTGGTAAGTGGACAAAAACCAACACAATGTTGCTGAATTCACAGTAGTGTATCGGACAAATCAGATGGTCACGGGTTTGGACACAGAATGTGAAAATCACCTGTGATGTGGTAGTAGAAGGAAATAGTGAGTGAGCAAGGTAGCATGTTAAATAGTGCTAAACTCATTGTTGACCTCCATGTTAAACTGTCATGTTAAACTGTTATATGGCCATACATCACACCCTCTGAACCTGTTACGATATAGTAGTGCGACCAACTCCACATACAACCTGGAAATATCAGCCTGTGTCAAACACTTATGCCGTTTTCAATATATACAGTAGCATTCTAAACTACACAGAAGTATTTACAGAGTACCAGCTTCTTCTAATATTACTATAGCTGATCAGTCATGGCATGAGTGAGTGGATTAATGACAGAATTATAGTTATTATTTAAGTAGCAGAATATACCAAATATAACTTAACTGTGAGATATGTATAAACAGACCACTGAGTACTATAGTACATCAGTTCATTTAGTTGATTTGTCAGGTAATCTATGAATACTAAGTATCATCTGTTTCCACGACTCTTCTCCACACTGACGTAGGTATCCATGGCCATGCTGTTGTGTTCAATGTCAACCACTAGTTTCACAGACATGAGTACACCTCCATGAGTACACCTCCATACCATGTGTACACAGATGATCAATACCAGGAATGTGATTGTCTCAAATGACATTTGTTATTTTACGAGAGTTTTTTCCGGTGACAAGACCTGTAATATGACCAGCATGAATACACCTGTTAAAACCCTTTTGTAATATGGGACATGGCCTTGAATACCCGAAATAAATTGTCTGTCTGTCTGTCAAATGACATTTTTTTTTTAAATCTATCCAATCGGTTGCCATGACAGCATGAAACTGCTGCAAAACCTGCCTGATATTTGATCCACATTGAATTCAAGATTAAATCCACGCGCAACAGTGAGCAACATAGAATATAACCCTGCCCTAAACCAGACATTGTTGATCCTTACCTTTCCACGTGTACAGGTGGGGTACATTTCATAGAAACGGTCTCAGTTGGGAAGAAATGCTGCTGTAAATAGGTCGTACTGTGACTAAGATTGATTCAATCAGCCACACAGCCAGGTCAACACGGCTGTCAAACCTAATCACAACCAGCCCCCTCTCACTGTTCAACACAGCCAGACAATATCCACGTTCCAGGGATAATACATATCACATTACTACACACAAATGTAATTAGTTTAAGTGTAAAATCTACGCAGTCACTACAGTACACACGCCTTTTCATGGAATTCAACTCTAGGCATAAGAAATACTGAGAACCGGCTACCTGAGGGAGAATACTTGGGTCACTAAGTGTTACTGTGTCCGCATATGCGTCAATCAAAACGCCCAGTTATTTGTTATTATTTAGTGTTAACAAGACACAAGGCATATCAATATCCTTTTTACATCTTCCATAATAATCTACAAATAAAGTTTTACACTTAGTTGAACAGATTAGGAATTCAAAAACACACTTTGCCACCAGGAAATACAACATTTAAGATTCAGTATCAAATATCACCAACAAAACATCACAGTATCAGAGTCTGAATTAACATAGGACAGGACCTCTTGAAAGTGTTACAATAAGGAAGGACCAGTGATATTTCCTTGTAGACCACCACTGTTTAACATTTGGCATATCACATTTTAAGACTAGTGAAATTACAAAAATATTTCTAACCCTGAATTATGCTACAAGTAGCTAACATTCTTACCTCATAATCTGTTTAAAAAGTGTACAATCCCTCCAAGTTCAAAACACTGTTAATCCTAGCAAGTTCAAAACACTGTTAATCCCTCCAAGTCCAAAACACTGTTAATCCCTCCAAGTCCAACACACTGTTAATCCCTCCAAGTTCCACACACTGTTAATCCATCACACAAACACTACAGTATCCCATCCACCAGCTCTGCTGAACAAGTTCTGTATCTGGTCAAGCTAACCCCTTCACTGGGGAGGTAAACTCGTTACAGGTGAACAATACTCAGGTGAAGAGTTGACCAGCAAACAATGGAGTCTGGCCTTGTCTGGCACCCTTCCCTCAAACAACACCAGTTTGCTCATTAAATTCTTATCTAAACAAATAATGATGGACCACAGCTCAAAGTGAAAGCATTGTTTTCTTGCTGCCATGTTTGTCTATGGCCTGGCACTGAGCTAATTAGCCACGCTCTGTCATTCCTTGTTGTGATTAGTGTCAGTGCCAGGTATTTTGGTAAACTTCTATCTGTCACGGTAGGTGTCTATTGTTCTCTTTGATCACTACTACCTCTGCATGATTAGTTCAAAGCGCGAAGTGTCTGACCTTCAGAGTCTTCCACCAACAGAAATGTCATTCTACTTCATAGAAGTCAAACTCAAAAGAGCCACTTCAGTAAAAGAGAAGTAGAAAGCTACATTTATTTTGACTGTAAGGAAATGATACTGTTAATTTAAAGCAATTTAATTTAATTGGTAAAGCAAATACTCCCCCAAAAAATGAAAAAATGAAATTGACTCACTAATAACGTTCAAACTTTCATACAGTTGAAAGCTGGCTGACGTGACTATAACTCACTCGTCCTTGGTTTCCATGCATACTGTGTGCTTATGAAACTCACAAACTACTGGAATATTAAAATATTAATCCTTGACACACTAGAAGTCAACATGCTTCTTTTCTAAACAAAAGCCTTTCCATAATTGTATGTCCACATGGAACATCTGTTTAGACTAAGATATGAGAAATCAAGTCATTTCACACTGTTGGGGGCTATACACTACTCCAACAAGGTTAAAGATACTGATTGTTTCATATTACTACACTTATGCAGTAATGCCAATATAGCGAGTGAGTGAGTATGGTTATATGCTGCTTTTAGCAATATTTGGTTTAAACATACTTATTCAAATAATCATGACGGTATTGGCAAACAAGCATAAACATGATTATATCAATGTCGCTCCCTAAACTTGATACAGTAGTATCACATATTGTGACAGTGTGGGGACTCGAACCTGGGTCTTTAGAATTATGAGCAAACACCTTAACCAGTAGGCTACCTCACTGCCCCAATTCCAGTATAGAATAATTCTAGTAACATCAAAGAATTGGGTGTTTTTTACATTTCTATTCCATGAGCTATTCAGGTATGAAAGTCTGCTCCATTTCAACTGATAGCTTCAGACATCACATGTATTTTTACGAACATGGATATAATTTAAATTTTGTCCTAAATGGTAATCAAAACAAAAATGTACTTGTAAATTCTTTCATACTACAATCTGTCCATACTTTTATAATGAAATCGCATAGGTTTGATAAATGATTAATAATGTTTAATACGCAGGTTGGTTGCTTGCTTTCCTATCATGCTGCATATTATTTAATATTTGTTTTATTCATGTATCAATGAAATGGAGAGGTATTCAAATAAGCCATTACGGCTTGTTTACCAATCCTAGTTCAATTCATTTTGAATAAAATATGTTTACACTAACTGATTGCTTCAAATCAAAGTGATCAAACTTCGAAACCAAATATATGCACAGGGACAAAAATATTCCTTCCATC